CGATCATATGCTTTACGAAGTGTTCCCCCTGATTTTTTCAGTACCCACCTGGCACCATTCATAGTTATTACAATATGATTGACTATATTCCCTATGCTATACTTGACATCCCCTTGACTATTTTGTAACTATTTGTAGAAAGTTGCCTTGTTTTAATTAGTAGTGACAAATGAGTTGAGTGTTTTATTGCTACCGCTAGAAAACACCTTTGTTTGTTTATTTCGTCAGTTGGTGGGTTTTAATAAGAATAACAGAGTCTAGTGGATTAATCACTGGCTAAGAGCCAACTTAACAGGACTTAATTCTTCTAATGATCAGCTGTGCCCCTGCTTCTCTGTCTACATTATGATTTGATTAACTGATTCTAAAGGTAATTAATTTAATTAACATTAAGACATCAAATGCGAAAATTGTTTTGCTTCAATTCAGCATACACTTTTATTTTTGTTTTGTTTTTTACCAACACTTCTGTTGTAGTTTCAGAATCTCAGTATAGTAGAAGCTTAGGTGTGGGATCTGGTTGGGAGGGGACTGAGGAGCTTGCCTTGAAGCTGCATTTTCATAGGAAACACGCTGTTTAATTTGAATTTTATGTTTATTTAGGGTGTTCTGAAAGTTAATGGAGATCGTGGAAAGATGGCTAATAGTCCAAATTACTGCTGCTTGTTTCCGGCAAGCTGCTATGTTGGATACTGCATTTATAAACAAAATTTTAAAAATATAATTTCTCTCTTTAACAAATTGAGATTTAGTGTGTGAAGTAGTTGTAGAAAAGAAAATACATGAACATAAGTTTAAAGCTAAGGAGGGAAAAAGAGAGAAGACATTAAAAGGATCACAATCACCTGGCCAGTGTGGCTCAGTGGTTGAGTGTTGACCTATGAACCAGGAGATCATGGTTTGATTCCCCATCAGGGCACGATCCCCAGTAGGGGGAATGCAGGACGCAGCTGATCAATGATTCTCCCTCATCATTGATGTTTCTTTTTATCTCTCTCTTCCTCTCTCTGAAGTCAATTGAAAAAAAAACAACAAACATCAGAATCTGTATCAGACAAAATGGCATTAGTGATAGGCCTTGTAACATAGACCTTAGAGAATTTGACCAGCTCACACTCTATGTAATTATATGTGGTCGTATATATACACATGCAAAAAATAGATGACAATCCTGGTCAAAGAAGCAGTGACTTTACCTCACAATGTTTTTGATTAAAAGCTTTTAAGATTAATTATTTGAATATTTACCCTCATACTTGATTTTTTAAAAATGTTTTTACTGGTTTCAGAGAGTAATGGAAAGGGAGGGAGGAAAAGAGAGAGAGAGAGAAGAGAAATATGGATGGGTTGCTTCCTGCACGCCCCCTACTGGATGAAGTCCACACTCCAGGCATATGCCCTGACCGGTAATCGAACCAGCGACCCTTTGGAGCCAGCTAGGGCCACATTTGGTTTTATATTGAGCATATAGAGCTACAGTTTTATGTGTCCACAAAGGCAGCTCTGTAATTGCTACAATAGAAGTAGCATCTCCAATGCTAATTTGATCCTGATTCATATCTAATGTTTTCAAATGTCTTGTGAGTTAAGTCAAGAGGGCTTGAAAAATGCCAGATTTTCTAAAACAATTACCTGCTCAATATCACACATTGACAAAACTAAACTGATTTCAATTTTGTATCTAGGCCAAGAGGTGACTCCAGCTGGAATTCTCAAGAGCCACAAGGATGTGACAGTGAATAATGAGTAGTTCCTACTGTGGCAACTCTTCAGCTAAGATGAGTGTCAACGAAGTATCAGCTTTCTCATTGACTTTGGAGCAAAAAACTGGCTTTGCTTTTGTGGGGATTTTGTGTATTTTCTTGGGACTTCTTATTATCAGATGCTTCAAAATCCTGTTAGACCCGTATAGTAGCATGCCTTCCTCTACATGGGAAGATGAAGTCGAAGAGTTCGATAAAGGGACATTTGAATATGCACTTGCATGACAGTTCCAGCTTCATGGTTTTTAGTGTTGTGCTCTTGGGACACGTGGTGAATACAATTGTGATTACCGTGAGTGTGCTGCTGGAGAGAGGCTCATTTCAGTCACTAAATCCAATAAACATGCGTGGTTAATTTATCCACTTTGCTGTGTGAATGATAAACCATCGTTGGGTTTCCTCACTTTCTTCTATCCCCTAATATTGAGGTGTCTAATGAATAGAGTAGAAGGATCCTTCAACCATATATATCATCTTTATTCTTATCTCAAACGTCAGCCTTAAATGCCTGCTTCCTTTTTTGTGCTAATGAACTCTGCTAGAGGTTTCCTGCGTCTGCCCCTCTGCAATGCCACGACACCCTCTCCACATTCCCAACTCCTGCCCACTTCACATTAGAGAATCAGGTGTCTTAAACATAAGGGGCCCTCGGTTCAAAGGATAAATCGAATACGATTTTCCTAGTAATAGCCATTGGTCAAAAATATTCACAGATGAAAAAAAACTTTCACAAAACTAATACACAAACCTATAAATAGCCACAGGCCCTGAAGATCCCCAATTATCACAGTGTCCTGACCCTTCTAATTATTCTCCTTCTGGAATCTCTTACAATAAAACCCCTTAGCTTGAGATCCAAACCAGACCTCCTTCAAACTGCTACTTCCTCCTCCTCCTCTCCCTTTTTAAATTAAATTTATTGGGGTGACATTGGCTAATACAATGATATAGATTTCAAGTGTGCAATTTTAGCTTTCATGTGTTGTGCCGAGCCAGCTCAGCTAAGGTTCACAAGCCTGAGTGAGGGCGGCGAATGGATGAAGAAATGACAGACAAAGAGAAAAAGCTGTGTCTCTAGGTGGATCTTCCTGTGCCTGGCTGAGGCCACAGAGAGAGATCCAGAGGCAAGCTGAGCCTTTATTTTATAGCCAGACGTAAACAAAGTAGTGGTCACCATAGTTACAATGTTCTTGTGCGTTTCACTTGTTTTGGCAGCACTTGCTGCATCTCCCTCAGCCCATTAGCTTCCCAGATAAGATCTAGGAGAGTCATAAGGTCAAGCCTAATTATGCTTGTTTGTGCCTTTGCCAACAGGTCAGTCAGAGGCTTAACCCTATAGCTGCTCCCTACAATGTGTGCCCAACACCCAAAGTCAAATCTCCTTCCATCGCCATATACATTACCCCTCTACTCTTCACTTCCTCCCCACCCTCTTTTCTCACTGGTAACCACTGTACTGTTGTCTGTGTCTATGAGTTTTTGTTTGTTTGTCTTGTTTGTCCATTGTTACTTTCAGTTTATACCCCACATATGAGGGAAATCATATGGTGCTTGACTTCTTCTGTCTGATTTATTTCTCTTAGCATGCTATGGTACATATAGTCCATGGAATACTACAGTCCTAAGGAAAGATGAAATACTGCCTTTTGGGGCAACATGGATGGATCTTGAGAATATCCTTCTCTCCTTTTATCAACAGCACAAAAAAGGGAGTTTCCAGCATGACCTGGTGGAAAGAGCGCTTGTCCCGGAACAAGCAGTCCGGTCTCCGCGCTGCCACCGCTTCAGCTGTGCGAGCGGCTAAATCATCTAATCTCAGTGGGCTTCAGTGAGGAGGCTGACTAGAGGATGCTTAATGTCCCTTTCAATCCTAATGTACTATGAACTCGACAACATGTCTGGCAACCCAGACATCTGAGATGAATGAGGACTTAAGATGTTATGAAAAAATTTTTAATTTAGGAACTTAAACTCAGATATATCATTTCTAATATTGGCCCACCCAAAAACAAGCTTTATGACCTAGATATTTACCTAAAGCAGACATCTTTTCAACATCTGCAAAACAAGGATAAAGAAACCCATTCTGTATGTCTTGCAGGAATTCTGAGAGGACTAAGTGACATGATGAATGTGAAAGGAATTTCAGAACCATAAAACTCAGTTTAAACATACCTTTCTATCATTATTTATTATCCTCACTGGTCATACATAGTAATACAGGTTCCCAAACCTTAAAAAGCAATGGTTTAGTGTAAATTATTCAAACTCTCAAGTCTCCATTCTCTTCATTTGATAAGTGAAAAGACAGAATTCTATAATTCCAAAATATTTTCCAAGTATAAAATTCTGACTCCGTAATCAACGTATGGAGGAATAGCAGGAGGTAAATAAATACAAAAATATTTGTATCACTTGAGAATACAACACTGCCAAACATACCAAAAAAAGAATGACATAGCCCTAGCTGGTTTGACACTCAGTGGGTAGAGTGTCAGCCTGTGGACTCAAAGGTCCTGGGTTCAACTCCAGTCAAGGGCCCAGTCAAGGGCCCAGGTTGTAGGCTCAACCCCCAGTGGGGGGTGTGCAGGAGGCAGCCGATCAATGATTCTCTCTCATCATTGATATTTCTCTCTCTCTCTCCCTCTCCCTCTCTGAAGTCAATAAAAAAATATATTTTTTAAAAAGAGTGACTTATATTTACTGAGTTAACAATAAATTAGGTGTTTTCCATTCATTATGTGATTTGATACTTTTATCAATCCTTTGAGTTCAGTATTACTATTTTCACTTTATTATCTCAATTTTACGGGTAAGAAACTGAAGTTGAGAGAGACTAACTTCCCAAGATCACCAAGCTAGAGAAGGGTTGTGTTAGAAATTGAACTTGGGTAATCAAATGTCAGAGTAATTGTTTGGAAACACTCTGCTGCACTCCAACATTGTCCTCATATTTCTACAGATCTTACACAGACGGTTACTGCTCAGGTCTATGGCTAAGAATTTTAAAACAGAGTCTCAAAAAGATATTTGTACACCCATATTTCTAGCAGCATTATTCACAATAGCTAAGATATGGAAGCAACCCAGGTGTCCATCAATGGATGACTGGATAAGTAATTGCTCAAAATATACACAATAGAATATTATTTAGCCTTGAAAAGGAAGGGAATTCTGCAATATGCCTAAGAACATTAAGCAAAGTGAAATAAGCCATTTACAAAAAAAGGAAAATACTGTTTGATTCCACTTACATGAGGTACTTACTAGTAGTCAAAAATCATTAAAAACCCCAGAATGGGAAACGGGGGGTGGCAGGGGTGGGGGGTGGGGGAGAATGTGGAGTTATTGTTTAATAGATATATAGGGTTGGGGTTTTTTTTGCAAGATGAAAAGAGTTACGGGGATGGATGGTGGTGATGGTCTCACAACAATCTGAGTGTACTTAGTATCACTGAACTGGTACTTAAAGATGATTAGGCAGTACATTTTATGTGAAGTGTATTTTACCACAGTAAAAATGCAAAAGCAAAGCAAACAACAAAAAACCTCCCTAGCACCATATCCGGGACATGGAATATAATAAATAAGTGTCCAGGTACTCCCTTCCCCCAAGAAAATAAGAAAGAGAGAAATAGGTAGGCTCCTGAAAGGGGGCAGGCATTGGGGGAACATTGGAAGGAAGGGAGACGAGACGTGGCAGAAGTAACAGCAAGTGAGTA